TGATGAAGATATGGAGAAACCGGAACCCTCTGCACTGGAAGCAGAAAAGTAAAATAATGCAGCTGCTATGAAAAACAGTATGGTAGTTTCTCAAAAAATTAAAAACAGAATTACTACATGATCCAGCGATTCTCTTTCTGGGTATATTCAAAAGAACCGAAAGCAGGATCTCAAAGAGATAGCTATACACCCATGTTCACAGCAGCATTATTCACAATAGATAAAGGTGGAGGCAACCCAAGTGTCCACTGACAGATGAATGGATAAGCAAAATGTGGTATATACATACAATGGAATATTATTCAGCCATTAGAAGGAATGGATTTCTTTTTCTTTTTTGTTTTTTGGTGAGGAAGATCAGCCCTGAGCTAACATCCATGCCAATCCTCCTCTCTTTGCTGAGGAAGACTGGCGCTGAGCTAACATCCGTGCCAACCTTCCTCCATTTTATGTGGGATGCCACCACAGCATGGCCCAACAAGCAGTGTGTCGGTGCGTGCCCAGGATCCAAACCCAGGCCGCCAGCAGCAGAGTGTGTGCACTTAACCACTATGCCACGGGGCCGGCCGTAAGGAATGAATTTCTGATGCATGTTGCAACGTGGATAAACCTTGAAAAACTACTAAGTGAAATAAGCCAGACACAAAAGGGTAAATATTGTATGATTCCATATATATGAGGTATCTAGAATAGGCAAATAGAGACAAAGTAGAATAGAGGCTACCAGGGGCTGTGGAGAGGAGGGGTGTAGAATTATTGCTCAATGATTAAAGAGTTTGTTTCAGGTGATGAAAAAGTTTTGGAAATATATAATTGTGATAGTCACACAACAAACATTATGCATGTACTTAATACCAATGAACTGTACACATAAAAATGGTTAAAATGGCAAACTTCATGTTATATGTATTTTATCACAATAAAAAAAAGTTAGTACAGTGCCTGGCACATGGTAAAACTATGGCAAACTTCATGTTATATGTATTTTATCCCAATAAAAAAAACATTTAGTACAGTGCCTGGCACATGGTAAAACTCAATAGATCATTGCTATTATATGTTCCTCCAAGAAATATTTATTGAGCATTTAAATGCTGGGTATCATATTAGGCACTCGGAACATAGTGATAAAAAAGACAAAGGCAACCTCCAGGTAACTGAAAATCTAATGGAGAAAGACAAATAAGCAACAAATGACATATTATAGAAATAAACTACTATTACAGAAGTAAATTTATAAAGGTAAATTCAGGACACAAAAAGAGAATAGAAGAAGAGAAGCTGGTAAAGGCATCAAGGAAGGCATCTCAGAGAACATCCAAATTGAGAGCTGGTATACAGGTGAGGAGAAGAGAAAACAGCATGTTCTGTCATTCAGAAGTACATTTGAGGGGACAAATGGCTAGACAGAAAAGCAGGGTTCAATCACAAAGGGCCTGAAATGCCACGCTAAGTGGTTGGGACTTCATTTTGAAAGCAATAGGAACCAATTACCAACTTAAGCATGACAAGTAAAAAGATCAAGGTTGCAGTTTAGAACAAACATTCTTGCCAAAGTGTTAAGGGACTGAAGGCCAGGCAACAATGACACAAGCAGATGGTAAAACGGCTGTTGTAATAATCCAGAAGAGTTATGACGGTAGCTGGGACTAGGGCTGTGGCATTTAGTCATCAAGACAGCCAGAAGGGATTAACTGGATGCTGGGGACAGTTGAGTGAGGAGGAGTAATCAATGATCAGGTTTCTGGCTGGCACAACTGGGGGATTACTATTGTTAACATGTATTAGGCTCTATGTGCCAGACACTATGCTAAGTACTTGACATGCATTATTTCATTTAATCCTCACCGCAAACCTGTAAAGTAGATACAATTACCCTCATTTTACAAAGAAAACTGGAGTTTATGTTAAATAACTTGCCAAGATCATGAATGAATCCAGATCTTTTTGACTAAGTAAAACACTATATATGTAAGGTAGCTGGCACATAGTTGAAGCTCTAACATTTTCCTTTCCCTTCAATTACCTACATTTAACACATCACTCCATTATTAGTTAGCATACAGCGAGTTGCTATTCCTTAGTATTTTCAGTTAACACATAGGCAAACTCTCATTTCATATTTAGTGCGCTTCTGAAAATTTTAAAGTACAGCATCAAAGTTACTCAACAGAGTCCCAATTTTAAAGGCGTATGTTTCCAGTGCACTAAAAATATGTTTACCCTTAAATTACGACTGAAGAAGCCTGCCAGAGGCAATCCTAGTGGACATCTAAGAGATGTCACAGATGCCTAAGATCAGGGTAGGAGGTATTGCATCTATCGCCCTGTGACTGGGTAAATAACAAATCACCCCTCTCCTGAACCCAATGCCAGGATAAAAGGAATAGGGCAATCCCTACTCATTATATGACCATGAGGTATCTTCTAGCTTCCCAGAGCAGAGAGTGGAAGATCTTTCTCCCTGCCAAGACAGCACAAGCCAAATGAGACTTTGGCCAGCCAGCCAGTTGCCCACTTTACACGAGGCCTCTCAATAGGCTATCTGTTAAAACCCATCATTCTTCACTGCTCTGGGGAACATGGACAATGGCCAGGACTAGAGATTAGGTCAAGCAGGGGATAAATTCAGAGACAAAGTAAATCCCAGATCTTAGCCGTCCCTTAGTATTTTGGAGGGAACTCAGAAGCAACTTCAACCTCAGAGGAATACTGACCAGCAACAAGCCTGCTTCTGTTATCACAAACATACTGTACCATTTTGGCAGAGGCCCTGATTCTTCAGCAACAGCAATTGGCAGAAGGTGACATCATGCCATGGCTCAAAATCATTCAGAAGTGATGTGTTAAAGACAAAATTCAGAGACTGAAAGGAGATTAAGAAGTATCCATGTCTAACCTGTTAACTTGTTAAAATGAGGTTGTACAAAGGTAACAAAGTTGAAGACAGTCTGTATATAGAATTTCTCCAACCACAATGTAAGTTTCCAGAAAGCAAGGACCAGATCTTCTACTTCTAGCTGTTTCTATGCAGTGCCCTATAATATGCTTTATTCACCATGGGCCTTACTGCTGATGAGTGGAAGAAAGATGATCAAGCCCTGAGAGGCCAGAAACAGTGGTTCCAGCTTATCTTCTTGCAGGCTTGTTTAATCAATAAGTATGGTAATTGTGAAAGGGAGAAAAGATACTGAAAAGACAAAGTTAAGGCCAGAAGAAATCTGAAGCCATGCTAGTATACCACAAGGGGGCAGTGATTGAACACCAGCAATCTGGAGAGGTAGGAGCCTTGGCAGTCCGCTGTTACTTCCTCTTTAAACATCACGCTGAGAGGGCTGCAGCCTTCGTGAGGAGAGGTGGGCTGGCCTCTTCCGCCTACCCTCTGCCTTCTCCTGCAGGGGTTGGCACCAACTCTCCTTATACTAGCAGCATGGCTGTCGGGGGACAAAGGCCAGAGGAAACAGACAGCAGGAGAGGAAGCAGAGCAGCTGGTCTTCCTAGTGGTCAGATGCCCCCAGCTGTCCAGTCATGCCCGGGAGTGCCTGCTGAGGAGAGGGCAGGGATGGTGGTAGGGACTCCACCTGGAATCTCTTTTGAGTACTACAGGACAGTCGTTCTCAAACTTAGCAGGCATCAGAATCACCTGCAGGGCCGGCCCCGTGGCTTAGTGGTTAAGTGCGCGCGCTCCGCTGCTGGCGGCCCTGGTTCGGATCCAGACGCGCACCGACGCACCGCTTCTCCGGCCATGCTGAGGCTGCGTCCCACATACAGCAACTAGAAGGATGTGCAACTATGACATACAACTATCTACTGGGGCTTGGGGGGAAAAATAAATAAAATTAAAAAAAAAGGAATCACCTGCAGAGCTTGTCAAACTAGACCACAGGCTCCAACTCCAATTTCCAATTCAGAAGATCTCAAGTAAGACCCAAGAATTTGCATTTTAAACAATTTCTAAGGTGATGTTGATGCTGCTGATCTGAAGACCACACTTCTGAGAACCGCTGCTGTAGGTATTTCTGGTTCTGTGCCTTTCTATCTCTTAACACTCCCCCATTCCCTCTTTTCTACCATCCATCTACTGCTTTACTTCTCCACCATCCCTCCATTAGCCTTCTTTAGGAAAACTAAAAGAAAGATAGAAAATGGGAGTCAATGTTAGATTTGTATTAAGGATTCCTTTGGGCAAGGATTCCAGCACTCTAGTCCGGGTGATGAATGTTTCAGAAGCAGAATTTATTCCAAATACATACATGCTTCTTGGGGCCGGCCCAGTGGTGTAGCGGTTAAGTTCGCACGCTCTGCTTCGGCGGGTGGGGGTTCGTGGGTTCGGACGTGGGCATGGACCTATGCACGGCTAATCCAGCCATGCTGCGGTGGCGTCCCATATGTAAAGTAGAGGAAGACTGGCACAGATGTTAGCTCAGTAACAACCTTCCTCAAGCAAAAAGAGGAGGATTGGCAACAGATGTTAGCTCAGGGCCAATCTTCCCTCACCAAAAAAAACAACAAAAAAAACACTCTTCCTCTCTTACTTAACAGTTGGGGGGCAGTTCAGTAAAGAGTAACAGATGCTTTTTCAATAGTAAGATCTTGCTTTGGGTCTCATAAAAATCGGGTAGGAAATGGTAGACATATTCCACTACATTTTAAAAAATTTCCTCACCTCAACTAGGCTACTTAAAAAAAAATTATAGTAAAATATACATAACATACAATTTACCATTTTAACCATTTAAGTGTTCAGTTCAGTGGCATTAAGTACATTCACATTGTTGTGCAACTATCACCACTATCCATTTCCTGAAATTTTCTCTCTTCCCAAACTGAAACTCTGTACCCATTAAACAATAACTGCCCATTCCCCACTCCCAACCAGCCCCTGGCAACCACCATTCTACTCCTAGCCTACTTTATGACTCGGTTTCTCTTTCACTTAATAAAAGAGAGGGTCCACAGCTGACTAGTGGGATTGCTTCTATATATGCAGGCCTTCCTGCATATATGTGATTGAGTTTATTGTAAGAAAGGTAAGAGAAAATGGGGTTGGAAAAAGAAAGAAGGTGGAGACACAACTGGATAGGGGTTTTCATACTGGGCCTACTATCCACAGGCCTCAGCAGCCCTGCCATGGATCCGCCCGATTCTTTCGCATCAAGAAGTTGATCTTGCGAGCCATTTCCATGTTGTAGATTCGCCGGCAAGTTTCATAGCTTTCCCTCTGTCGCCGGCGGCAAGGCTTCTCATAGTACCGCCGTCGCTTAATGTCCTCAATGAGCCCATCCATGGTGAGGATTCTGTATAAAGGCAGGCAGTGGAGTTAGAAGCTTGGGCTCATTATTATTCTTTTCCAATTTCACAGATGGCCAGAAGTCAACTGACCAAACCATTGGTGTCTATAAAAATGAAAGTGTGAAATGGTGGCAATATAGCATTAACTGCCTACTGAGAGAGGCTCCAAATAGGAATTTGTGGGGAATAAAAAAGCCATTAACTACATAGTCCTTGCTCTTGAGGAGTTTACAGTCAAGCTCATGTTCTCAAGCTTTTTTCTACCAAAGTACACCTGAGGAATAGGACACAGTCCCATAAGAACAGGGGCTCCCCATGACAGTGATTCTCAACCAAGGGGTCATTTCAGAATCTTCAAATGGGGTTAGTCACATTTGTAGTAGGAAAAAAATCACTACGGTTGATTCCTACTTGGTCCTTAGTGCAGAATGTAGTTCTAGCCCTGATTTGTTTAAAAATGGATACCGCTGAAGTCTATAGGTCTGAGAAATCTCTGGGCATACCTAATATAGAGAAAGACGAGGCCCTTATCACACCAGTGATACAAATGGAAGCATTAAAATAATAGCCTCGCCCGTCATTTTTCCATGGACCACATGCTCCAACCACACTACTTTGCTGACTATTCCCTGAACACACCCTAATACCAAGTTTTCACTCCTATTGCTTCCTCAGCCTAGAATGCCACCCCCAACTCCCAGTTGCCAACCTTCTGACTGAAATTTTCCTCATCTTTTTGATACCAAACCCAGATACCACTTCTCCACAAAGGTTTCTCATCTTCTTAGAGAAAATCACTTATTTTATTTTATACCTATTTAGCAATTATATCATCCTGCCATTCCATTAGTTATTTATACAAACATCTCCCTCATTAGACTGAAAATCCCTGAAGGCAGAAAACATGTTGTATTAATCTTTAAGTGTCCATAAAATTGAGCTTAATCTGTTTTTTTTCCTGCCCACCCAATTCCTTGTAATGCAGCTTCTCTTGTGGGATTCATAACACACCTAACTCAAATCCACCTTTTTTTTTTTTGTGAGGAAGACCAACCCTGAGCTAATATCCGATGCCAATCCTCCTCTTTTTGCTGAGGAAGATTGGCCCTGGGGTAACATCCGTGCCCATCTTCCTCTACTTTATATGGGATGCCACCTCAGCGTGGCTTGACAAGTGGTGTGTTGATGCACGCCCAGGATCCGAACCTGCAGGCCCTGGGCCGCTGAAGCGGAGCGTGTGCACTTAACCGCTGCGCCACCAGGCCAGCCCCTCAAACCCACCTTTTTGGTCTCACTCAGCCAAAAAGACACTGGGGCTTATTCTATAACCTACCTAATCTCTAGGCTCCTGAGAGCTCTGGCTCCAATCTGTAACTTGTCTCTCCCTCTCAACTCATCATCAATTGGTCCTGAGGAGGTCTGGAGGCACCTGCTGCTGCTGCTTTCCATTCCTAGCATTGTTTACATGGCCCCATTCTTGCTTACCCTGTCCTTTCATCACATGTAAAAAGTAAGTCACAAACACAATTGAAGACAAGGAGGTTAAGAGACGGCTATTATAATTGGAAGAAGGGGGACAGAAGAAGGAAGAAATAAAAATAAGAGAAACCACCAGCTACTTCTGCCTAGTGGAAACCCCATTTATTGCTGCTATGTGATACCACAAAGCCCAAGATAACAACAACAGATTGAACATGAACTTGAAAAGATGGAGCTTTGGGTAAATTACAAATGTGAATAGACATAGGAACCATTGTCCTATGGGATCCTCTCCCAGGCTCTCACTGTTTAATATTAAGAATAATTTGCAGGCTACTAGAGAATCGTATTTGTATAGATCAGCTTGTCTAGGTTTTAGTGGCAAGGAGATGGGAGGCAAGGAAAATGCTATAAACTCCCAGAAGCATGAGAAGCAGATAATTTGGGTTCTGTTGGAGACATAGCCATGCCCAGAAATCATGTAGATCCAACACCAGAGTCTTACAATAGAGAAGCAGGGCATCAAAGACCAAAAGACTCAGTATCCTGGCCCACAAAGGGTCTCTTGCTGGCTTTCTTCCTGGATTTACCCTTAAATGTTGGTATCCCTCCAGATTCTGACTGTAAACCTCCTCCTTTACCAGTTCTACATGAGTTCCTTAACCTTTACCAGTGAGCCTCAATCCTAATGCACAATGAAATCATCTACTAACTGGTTTTTAAAAGGTCCTGATGCCTAGGCCCCGTTGCTCAGAGAGTCTGATTTAATTGGTCTAGAGTAGGGTTATGCACCGGAAATGTTTTTAAAAGACCCCAGGTAATTCTTTTTTTTTTTAAAGATTTTATTTATTTATTTTTTCCCCCCAAAGCCCCAGTACATAGTTGTATGTCATAGCTGCACATCCTTCTAGTTGCTGTATGTGGGACGCGGCCTCAGCATGGCCGGAGAAGCCGTGCGTCGGTGCGCGCCCGGGGTCCGAACCCGGGCCGCCAGCAGCGGAGCGTGCGCACTTAACCGCTAAGCCAGGGGCCGGCCCCAGACCCCAGGTAATTCTTTTTTTTTTTTTTTTGTGAGGAAGATCAGCCCTGAGCTAACATCCATGCTAATCCTCCTCTTTTTGCTGAGGAAGACCAGCTCTGAGCTAACATCCATTGCCAATCCTCCTCCTTTTTTTTTTTTCCCCAAAGCCCCAGCAGATAGTTGTATGTCATAGTTGCACATCCTTCTAGTTGCTGTATGTGGGACGTGGCCTCAGCATGGCCAGAGAAGTGGTGCATCGGTATGCACCCAGGATCTGAACCCGGGCTGCCAGTAACGGAGCGCGTGCACTTAACCGCTAAGCCACAGGGCCAGCCCAGACCCCAGGTAATTCTAACGTAGAGCCACAACTGAGAACTGACCCCAGAGACTGTTGACTCCTAAATCTTTATCTCTACTCCCAATCTTATCTTAGAGCTAGCCTAATATTTCCAGTTGCCTCAAAGCCTACAAAAACCAAACTTACTGTCTCCTCCTAAACTCTATTCTTCCTCCTCTACATTCTCTCTGTTAATGACATCACCAGTTACTCAAGCTAAAAACCTTAGCACGTTCCTGAACAAGGCCTTCTCCTTTACTTCCTACATCCAGTTACCATATCCTATAAATTCTATAAGCTGAAAGAGTTCTTAAATCTCCTCCTTCTCTCCTTTCCTACAGCCACAGCTCTAATTATGGTCCTTATCATCTTGTACCTGGACTACTGAAATAATCATCTAAGTGGTCATTTAATCAATAAGTATTTATTGAATCCCAACTCTGTACCAGACACTGTGTTAAATGCTGAAGATAGAAAACAAACCTAGAAAGGCTAGCCCCGTAGCCTTGTGGTTAAGTTTGGTGCACTCTGCTTTGGCGGCCTGGGTTCCATTCCCAGGTGCAGACCTACACCACTCATCTGTTAGTGGCCATGCTGTGAAGGCGTCCCACATACAAAATAGAAGAAGATTGGCACAGATGTTAGCTCAGGGCGAATCTCCCTCAAGCAAAAAGAGGAAGATCGGCAACGGATGTTAGCTCAGGGCAAATCTTCAGCCAAAAAAAAAAAAAACAAGGAAAACAAACCTAGACATGGTTCCCTACCCTTGTGATCTAGTGGAGAAGACGATTATATAAGAATTACAATAGAGTGTGATATGTGCAAAGATAAGAGAAACATTGTTACGAAGCACACAGGAGACGCATTTAATCTGGACTTGAGGATGAGAAGGTGGTTATGAAGGCTTCCTAAAGGACAACTTAATTTGAATTGTGAAGGGTAAGTAGGCTGCCCTATTTCCATTCTCCTTCCCTACACCACTTACTGTCTTAAAACATAAACTGGCGGGCCGGCCCAGTGGCACATGCAGTTAAGCGCGCACACTCCACTGTGGCGACCCGGGGTTCGCTGGTTCGGATCCTGGCGCGCACCGATGCACTGCTTGTCAAGCCATGCTGTGGTGGCATCCCATATAAAGTGGAGGAAGATGGGCATGGATGTTAGCCCAGGGCCAGTCTTCTTCAGCAAAAAGAGGAGGATTGGCAGATGTTAGCTCAGTGCAGATCTTCCTCAAAAAAAAAAAAAAAACATAAATTGGATCATGTCACTCTGATGCTAAAAAATCTTTCCCAATATACAGAATAGTCTAAGGCAGTGGTTCCCAGACTTGTCTGCACATTATAGTCACTTGGGGATCTTTTAAAAATTTCAAACCCTAGGCCACACTCCAGACCAATTAAATTATAAGGGTGGAGGGACACAGGCAGGGTTTTGTAAGTTCCCCAAGTGATTCCAACATGCGGATCAATTTGGGAATCACTAGTCTAAGCTCAAAGCCTCAAACAACTGAGCTTCATCCTCTCTTTCTAGCTTTACCTTTAATAACTTGCCCTATAAAGCCTATGCCCTAGTCACACTGAACTAGGAGCAGTTCTCCAAACATACTACATATCGATTTTTTACCTTTGCTCATGATGTTCTTTACTTGGAATATCATTCCTTTCTTTTTCTGTTTTATGAAATGTTATTTATTCTTCAAAGGCCCAAATCAATGGTTGCCATGTCTGTAAACTGGTCCAGGTGAAATTAATCACTCCTTTCCTCTGTTCCCAAAGCACAGTGCTTCTCAAACTTTAGCACCCAGCAGTCACCTGGAAAACTTGTTAAAACACCAGCTGCTGTGCCACCTCCAGTTTCTGATTCCATAGGTCTAGGGTGGAACCCAAGAATTTGCATTTCTAACAAGTTCCCAAGTGAAGTTGCTGCTGATAGTCCAGGGAGAACCAATGCCATAGCACACTGTTAATGCTTCTTTTAAAGGACTGACTAACCAGTATTATATTTAACCACGTTTTGTTTATTTTTTTAATCTCCCTTACTGGGTCGTGTGCTTTCTAAGGTTAGAGATTAAGTTTTTATTCATTTTTGCATTTAACATAATGTGTGGCAAAGAGCAAATTATCAGTAAATGTCCACAGCTCAAGGGATTAAGTGACTTATAGTAGACA